ATAGGGTTCTGAACAAGCATTCAAAGAAAATTAAAGAGACCTATTATGTCACCTTCGATGACAACTACGTCAAGAAACTAACGACAATCGAATGTTCTGTGGAGGAAATATTTCCAAGATCTGGTCAAGTTACAATACCAATTTCAAATCTCTTTGAGCAACACATGTTGCTATTTGATGAACCAGAAAATGCTATTCACTCTGAATCCCAAGCTGCAAACAAAAAGGTTGACAACCTGAAGAAGATAATCGATGAGGCAGCAAAGAAAATGGCAGATGAACAACCAATAGCAACCGAACAGCCTGACTCAAGCAAACCTCCAATAATTAGTTCTTATGTTCAGGGGGAGGGTTCATCTTCTCCAAATAACCAAGATTCACCATTCCAGGGGGAGATTCGATTTGAAAGTCAAGTCCAAAAGGAGAATTATGAGCCTGAAGCTGAAGAAGGATCATCATTCGAGGGGGAGAATACAAATACATACGATGATGAAACTCAGTCAGAATTCAAAGAAGAAATGAATGTTGAACTGGATCCCTCATATGATCCTGATTACCCTCCTCTCACCAAATGGACGAAAGATCATCCACAAACACAAATTATTGGTGATTCAACAGAAAGGGTACTCACACGATCACAACTGAAAGTGAAACAAAGTGCACTATTCTTGAAAGTGGAATTTTGTATGTTCAATTCGTTTGTCTAAAAGGTTGAACCAAAAACAATCAACACTGCACTTGATCATTCTAATTGGGTACAGGCGATGGAGAACGAACTCAATGAGTTTGAATGAAACAAAGTGTGGAGACTAATTCCAACGCCAAAGGATGATTCTATGGTTGGACTAAAGTGGGTTTTTAGGAACAAGATGGATAAGGAAGGAAATGTGATTCGCAACAAGGCAAGGTTGGTTGTGTTAGGTTATTGTCAAGAAGAAGGCATAGATTATGAAGAGACCTTCGCTCCAGTAACAAGGCTTAAATCGGTTCGTATTTTTCTCGCCTATGTTGCACAGAAGAACTTTGAACTATACCAAATGGATGTGAAGTGTGCCTTCTTAAATGGAGAACTGGAAAATATGGTGTATGTAGAGCAACCACTGGGTTTCATGAACGAGAAGTATCCAGATCACTGCTAAATTCTAGACAAGGTTGTCTATGGTCTCAAGCAAGCACCAAGGGCATGGTATGAAACTCTAACTAGATTTCTCAAAATGTCAAAATTTAAACAAGGTTCGGTTGACCCAACCTTCTTTCATAAGAAAGAGGGTAACCATCTTATGATCGTTCAAATTTACGTTGATGATATCATCTTCGGTTCCACAAATCCTGACTTAACAAACGAGTTTAGGAATCTGATGGACACTAAATTTGAAATGAGCTCAATGGGTAATATTAACATTTTCCTTGGCTTGATTGTTAGACAGGGAGTTGAAGGCATTTTCATTAATCAAGAGACCTACACAAAAATCTTGCTTGCCAAGTTTGGAATGATGGGAGATTCTAAAGTAAACATTCCTATGGCGTTTGGCACGAAGTTGACACCTTCTTTGGACAAACCGGCTGCTAACATGACCCTTTATCGTCAGATGATAGGGTGTCTAATGTATCTAACAGCAAGTCAACCAGACATAATGTTTTTTGTTTGCTATTGTGCTAGGTTTCAAGCTAATCTACGCGAACCTCACCTATTGGCTGTGAAAAATATCTTTCGATACTTGAAGCGAACCTCCTCTCTCGGTCTATGGTACCCAGCCAAGTCAGGGTTCTTTGTCCAAGCTTTCTCAAATGCTGATCTCGGAGGATGTGGACTAGACCGAAAGAGTACCACTGGAGGATGCCAATTTTTGGATGGTAAACTTGTTAGTTGGCGGTCCAAGAAGCAAACATGTGTGTCTCTTTCAACAGCCGAAGCTGAGTACATCGCAGCAGCATCCTGTACGTCACAATTCATTTGGATACAAAGCCAGCTTAGAGAGTACGGCCTGAGTATGAAGAAGATTCCTCTCTACTGTGACTCAGAAAGTGCGATAAGGATTTGTCACAATCCAGTGCAACACTCAAAGACTAAACATATTGAACTAAGATATCATTTCATCAAGGACCACGTTGAAGATGGCAATGTGGAAGTTCACTTCGTTCGGTCCTCTGATTAATTGGATGACATCTTTACTAAGGCCTTACCAGAAGCAAGTTTTAATAGAATACTACAAGGCTTGGGAATGATGGAAGCAAAGTCGGTACCAAAACCCCTTACATCTCTCTAAAAATTAAACAAGCAAAATAGAGCATTGGCTCGATCTATTTCGGTTCCGGAATTTTTAGGCACTGAAATGAATCGAACGCTCGGTCTATTTCGACTCTGGAATTTTAGGGAATTGAAATGAACCGAACACTCAGTCTATTTCGCTTCATCTTTTCTAAGGTTAGGTTTCGGTTGTATATATTGTAAGTATTGATTAATATTTTTGCTTGCCTCTATTTCTCTTTTATTTTTATTTTCTGTTTTTATTTTTTTTAGAAATACCAAAAATACAAAATATTTTATTTCTGTTTTTATTCTTTTTCATAAATTCCAAAAATACAAAAATATTTTATTTCTGGTTTCATTTTTTTTTCAGAAATTCCAAAAATAGAAAAATATTTTATTTTCTTTTTCAGAAATAATAAAAATCCAAAAATATTTTCTTCTTGTATTTCGTGTGGTTTATTTCTTTCCTAGGTCTTAGGAACAACGATGGTACATGCAGTGGAACGAGATCATGTATAATATTCTTATCCTTGAACTAGTGAGGTGTCCCTAGACGCATGCTACTGCATGTAGACCGAAGCCTCCAAGACTCTGAGTGAAGCCTTAATGATTCGATCCATACTAATCGTTTCTTCCCAATTAGGCTGCTAAATTCACTCAAGTCATGAGCTACCTTACTCTTCTTATATGAGTCAAGAGTGTTCTTCTTTGTCATACTTATATAGCAGAGGTACTTTAGGTTCTTTAACCACTTTCTATACTTTCTCCATTACGTTTCGTTCCACCAACGTAACCCTTGAGACTCTCAGCATTATCACTAAGGTTTATGGATACATAAAATCTGTGTTTATGATCTTAGATACGTACACCACGTGCTAAGTGAGACCCAAAATCCATCACCAACAATGAATTGATGGTGAATATTTACTATTCAAGCTCTTACTTGTTACCCTACGAAATCTCATTTTATTTTTGAGTGATCTTTATGAAATTGTTCAACACCAAGACATTTCTTCCCAAAAGATCCAGTTTCGTTTTTGTTTTTGAGATTTAAAACTAATGTCTTGTCCCCTCAAACTTTTTCCTACCTCCTTGTTCAACAGACCACATTGGTCTCACAAGTACTTCGCCTAACTTTTGGTCTTATTTTGAGTATCGAAGTTTGGTTGAAGGTAACCTACCCTGTAAATCCATACTCTAAAAGAAGCCTTTCAACGTTTCTTGTCAAACATTTGATCGTATTTTATCGGGGTACCACACAAGCACTTCAAGTCTCTCTTTACTTTGAAGGAAGAGATTTGTGCCCGGAGTCTTCTGCTTCGTGTCTTGATAAGACATCACTCACATCTCAAACACACTTTGTTTTATTTCTTTTCTTTTGGCAAACTTGCACGAGAAGCCACGTGATTTTCCAAAGTCTAGTTCGGTTTTCTAATGGCAATTTTCCGGATCTCTAATTTGGTTTCATATGCTGTACTTTTGCACTCTTTTACAGACCGAGCACTACAGCTACAAAGCTGAAGTGAAGTGATGAGTCATCAACGAATTTGAAAAGAATTCCTAATTGGTGAGGCAGTAACTGGATAAGAATTTAATCCTATTCATGGGGTAAAATTTGAGCGCATGAATTTGAAACATCAAAAATCACTCACGCCGCCTGACAGCTTTTTGGGGAACTGTTGTCAATCACCGCTTTTTATGGCGACATTTCAGAGAGTCAGTCATCATTATCCCAGATTTTTCTCTCTCCAGGAAACGGTATAAAAGGTTTATTGTCTTCAAGGGGTATCTTTACCACTTCCAAATTCTCTCAGAGTATACTGGCGATTTATCTTTCTCTACTGTTCATCATCTTCTTGTGAACCAACAATGGCAGATTCTTCATCAGTTCAAGATCAAACAGTTTCCTCCACACTACTGACGATTAAGCCCAATCAGAATCTCATTATCGATCTTGATCCTCATCTCTATGATGCCTACATGCTCCAGGTGGTTGAATGCCTTAAATATTCACCACTCGTCATGGCATTGACGAAAGCTGAAACATTGCCAATGTCCCTACTAGCTCAAGTCTACACTACTGCAATGTACGAAAAGAAATAAGAGAGGATTTTCTTCGAGATATTTAATCACAAGACCTTTTTGTCTAAGGTCAGGTTTTCTTCTCTGTTAGGGCTTCCTTATGAAGAAACAATGGCGACCCCTGATTCGATTACTCTGTCACCTCTTTCCTCGATGTTCTATGATCTTGGCTACACGGATATTTTGACCACAATCACCAAGTTCAAAAAGCCATGCCTTCCTCCTCAATGGAATGGTATTTTTACTCTTCTTGTCCAAAGTTTCGCTAAAAGAGTTGCAAGTTCTGACGGGTCTAGCAAAGATTTTCTGGTTTTATTCTATGGCCTTTACACTCGTATGAATCTGGATTTTGGTTCTATCATGTGGTCACAACTGGTAAAGAGTTTAAACTCTTCTTCATGTTACTCTAAGGTTTCTTGTGCATGTTTTTGGTTGATTGTCACTCGTTGAGCCATGGAAAAGTTTAATGTTCATGTAATGGCGGACTCGTTAATGTCTTTGATTGCCACGCTTCATACAACGAAGATCATCATGGCTGATCCTTCGAGATTTTCCTATGTGGGTTCAATTCCTGAATCCATGAATGGATTTGTTCTTGCTTCAAGCTCAATTATTGCTGCCTACAAGAAAATTCCCCCCGTCTAGGTCAAGGGTTTATACTCCGGAGATGCAGCAATCACTTGACGATGCTGATAAACTAGCAATAAGGGGTAAACGCAGTAACCCAAACAAAGCTACTCAGGGAGGTCCATCCTCTAAGGCTGCTGCTTCGAAGAAGAGGAAGTCTGAGAAGGCTGCAACACCTATTAAGAAAAGTGCAATGTTAAGAAGGCAACAAGGAAACCAGTCACTCCATCAACCAGCAATTCTAATTACAACCCTTCAGATCAACCCCGTGATGACTCCAATGATGATGGGACTGAATAAGTTCCTTCTGTTGTTGAGGGAGGTCATTCGCCTCCTCTTTCTCCTACTTATGAGGTACCATTCAATGCTTCGATTCCATCTCCTCAAACTTTGGTTCCAGTTACTATTGCCCCATGTCGAGCGCCTGTATCTACTGCTTCACCAGTCAGTGCTCCCAATCCACCATCAGTCTTTTCCCAAGCAACAACCAAACCTAGTGTCAATGTATCTGATACGGGGGCACCTACCTTTCAAAACGAAACTCCATTTTCATCATCACCATCAACCGATTCTGACTCTGTATTGGGTGGAGATTATCTCAACTTTGAATCCATATATTACAGTCCCTATCGCATCCAGAGCGATGACAATGACGACGCTCCTGTGACAAAGCGACATCTGAAAGATTTGAATGATAAGCTTGATACCCTTATTGACTCATCCTCTACTTTTTCATCGGCTTATTCTGAGGCTACTGTTAAATCCATTCTAGAAACGGTGCTCCAACGACATGAATCTTCGATTCAGAATGCGAAAGATGATGTTGATGCTTCGACTATGTCGAGCAAGAAGGTTGTTGACGCAGTTAAATCTTTGGTTCATGATGCGAGGATTTTTCTAGAATCTCTTCAAGGGGCATCCGAAACTAACTCCAATAAGGTAAATGCTACAATTGAGTCTCTTTCAAAGACTTTTCAGGATGAACAAGCGAAGTTCGACCAAGTTCGTTCTGGTTTACAAGCCGATCAAACATCCTTTCAGTCATCGGTTGCTTCTCGTCTTGAAAAACTCCAAGAAGAATTGTCATTTGAAAATAGAGTGATGGATGAGCTCGACCGTCAGACTACGATGATCAAGACTCAGATTGTTCATTTGAATCAAGCACGAAGGGATATTGATGAGCTTAAGTCTAAGCGAACTGATATGAAAAGTTGTGTTTCTGACATCCACGATCTTCTTTCCAATATTTTGGATGCTCATGATTCGGTCCTTACAATCACTATTCGACGACATCTTGCAGAAAAAGTGTGTCTCGGTCTTGCTTTGTTGAGCCGAATGGTGGGCGTTCAGGAGTCGGTTACTACTCCACAACAAGGGGGAGATAAAATTGAAGAGCAACAGAAACTGTGACATCCCCAATTTCTCGGCCAGAAAAGACTGATTTGTTTATGCTTTGTTTTTAAAATCAGTGTAATTGTTTAAAGAAAACGGTTGTAGAATTTGTTCCCAAAACAAGATATGATAAAAACTTATCAAAACATTTCTCAAAGAGAATGTGTTTTCATTTAATAATAAAACCTCGAGATGTTATGTTCCGATACAGACACACAAGCATACACAGAACATACATTCATTTACTCTAGTGATTTACATCTCCTTTAATCTCTTAGTGCAAAGCAGCTTCGAATCGATACCTGTGATACAATTAAACTGAGTGGGTCAGGATTGGGAGCCTGGTGAGCATATAGGGTTTTCAACCCACAATAATATAATTATTATATTTAATTATCAAACAATCAACCCAATTACCCATCCCCATTATCTTCCTTACTCTTAAGGATCTACCCTAAGAATCATCTATTCGTTCACTCCAAATTAGGCACTAAGACAATAGCTGCCAGGATTCTTTATTAGGCATTAAGACAATAGCGGCTAAGGCTCCTTCCTAGAGCACTAATTCCGTAGTTTCTATGGTTTATTCATCGGGTACTAAATCTTTAGCTACCAGTATAGGTACTAAGTCCATAGCTATCATCTCCTATCTGACAGTACTAAATCCATAGCTACCAGCGTTCGTCTATACGGTACTAAATCCATAGCTACCAAGGTTTATCCATACATTACTAAATCCATAGCTACTAGCGTTCTTCTATATGGTACTAAATCCATAGCTACCAAGGTTTATCTATACAGTACTAAATCAATAGCTACCAGCGTTCGTATATATGGTACTAAATCCATAGCTACCAAGGTTTATCTTTCGTCTCATCCTCCATCACACACCAACTAGTTCGTCTACCCATGTTCTACCCAACATATTTGTAGATATAAAATACATATGTAGTTTAACTCATTTAAAACCTATATAAAACATCCATTCCACGCTTATCTCAAATAAACCATAATATATAAACACATAACACATATTTCGTAGCAAATACTTAATATTTATGTGTTAGAAGAAAGTGACCACACACTCACACCAAAAATATACTTAATACATTCAAACAAGACTTGTATTAAAATCGTGTTTATGAAAGGGACTATACACCCACGCATATAAACAACTTTATATTATACACATAGCACGTATTTCATAGCAAATACTTAATATTTATGTGTTAGAAGAAAGTGACCACACACTCACACGTATAAACAACAATATATATACACATAGCACGTATTTTATAAAATACTTCATATCTATGTGTAAGATGAAAGTGAATATACACTCACTTTATCAGAAGATGATCAGACAGCACTACAACTTGTAGAAGTAGTATTCTTTGGTGAACGGGATCACTTCACACACCAGGTTTCTCACAGGCAGAGCTTCGGCTCGGAAACTCTTTTCTTCTCGGGATCTTCGGACTTTGGGACTCACTTCGAGTCTCAGGATTGATACCGGGGCTTTGGGGGTACTTCTTTGCATGTAAATCGAGGTAATATGGGTGAGAGATGAGAGAATAAGCAACCAAACTCGGCTGGCCCTTCAAATCTATTTATAGGGAAAAACTGGCCCTTGCCACATTGTGACACCTTTTGCCACATCGTGGGCTTGGTTGTCACCGCATGCGTCATCTCAAGTTGCATCCGGGGGACTCCCGGATGTGTCAAAAGACCTGCCACGTCGTGGCACTGCTTGCCACGTTGTGGTCTCTGACACAGCTTTGGGGTTCACGCCCCGAATTTTAGAAATTCATAACTTTTGCATACGAACTCCGTTTTCGACTGTCTTTTTATCGTTGGACTACTATCGAAGAAATATTCGACTCTCGTTCAGATCACTAAGGATAGATATCTATCTACCTTACATTCACTATTTACGTCGCGCTGGGTCATGCTGGTTCTGTTGCGAAACTTCGACAGGTCATAACTTCTTCGTTATAAATCGGATTTTAGCGTTCTTTATATGCACGGAAACCTTGTGACATATACTACAACTTGGTTAAGATTAATCCTTCTAAGTAATCTTCCATCAAAAATTCATTTTTTATGCTTATCGTCTCTAATTTGACTAGCCCGGATCTACGGGGTTTACAATTATCCCTCCTTAGGATGATTACGTCCCAGAATCATCAACGAAATAGGGCTTGCATAATGATTCCACATGTTAACTCTTCATCCTGGGTAATAACCGTAAATTCTATGCTTCCTCGATAGAGTATTTAACTCTATGGCTTTCTTGACCGCAAACGATGCCCAATCTTGCATCTGCTTATCGTACTATGCTGTACTTTCAATCATAACATCCAAGTTACAAAATAAGTCCTTATCATGGACTCCTTCTTCTTCTCAGGATAAATACTTTCCTTTATCTATTGTAACAGACCGATGGGTCGTGTTCTAATGACCTCTCATCGTATGATGAAACGCTTAGACTCAAGTCTCTTAGAGTCAAATTCCATAATGGAATATACCTTCCTTCATATTCTAACGTGATATAATCACATTTTTTACATGTCGCATTTCTATCTACAAGCTTCCTTAACAACGAGCGCGATGCTGTAGATCGCATTGATTTCAATCTTTTGACTTAGGTCAGATGTTACATCGAACTTGGTTCCATGAACCACGTAACAAACTCCTCGTAGTGGGACTCAATTTGATATGACCACTAGGGTCGGAATAACAACAATCATACTAGTCACTACCGAAACAAGGGTAATGACATACTTGAACAAAACATAATCAATTACTAGCTTCTTGGTAACCTTGTGACTTTCCCTGATCCAAGTGCGAGTCCTGTGCTTCTGGTAGTATATGCATCTACTACCTTTCAAACCTACTCATACTCGTCCTAATTATTGTCCCGCAGTCAACCAAGTCACCATACAAGAAAATCACAAAAAAATTTAGCACATACGAATGTGTCCAAATAATCATAAACAATTTCCCTAGACTCTACTAGGACTTCTTCATTGCTCAATCTTCAATCATCAACTCTACTTCAACTCGATTGGTGATGGAAATTCCAGATGATGGAACAACTTCAAGAATTACACCAACCGTTCCATCATCCTGCCAATCGAAGGTGTACTTCATACATACCATACTCCTCTAAACGTTCCGTTATTTTATTAGACATAAAGTAAAGGCATGAAAGCACTCTTACGATATCTTCCAATAGGTGTCATTCACTATCATAAGCCCTTTTCATATCCTTCATTTACTGAATTCTCTACAAGTCTTCACCATGACCTTTTATACATCCAAGCAGACATTTGGTGTACCAAGCGAGAATTTTTAAGATAAGAAAGTTTTTAATGACTATAAACGTATAAACCTCCTTATCACCCCAAAACGTTTACATCCTATTTCTAATATTGTAGTTATACGCTTAGAATCCTATACACATAAGGTTTCCAGATCCGGTCGGCAACATACCATAAATCAGAACAAATAATAGCATCAATTTAGCTATCACACAAAACAATTAGCACATAAAAGCATTTTAGGTATCATTCCTAAAATAAACTAGTGCTTATGTCAATTTAAGTGTACTACCTATCATATTTTAGACACACTCCTCACAATCATTACTTAGCATTCTAAGCTTAAGTCTAGAAATTTCCTACAAATTCCTAGTTCGCTTAACCTAATGCTCTGATACCAACTGTGACATCCCCACACTACAAGAAAAATAACCTTTTACAACGCGCAAAATACGACACTCGTTGATTTATGTTACGTAAAGGGGAGTGACATTAAAAAAGTGTCATTTATTCAAAAAATTTAAGGATTTAGGTCATGCATTATTGCGCGCCCATAAATTAGTGTCTCATGTAAAATAAAGTAAAAACACGGAGGGCACTTTATCTAAAATGCACGTCCTCTGCGAATGTCGCTTTATAATTTTTACTCAAAAAACGCGTTCTTATAAGGGGGAAATGAAATCCTCTTAAAATTCTAAAATTTTTAAATACCCCGCTTCAAGATCTCCCTTCTCCCTTCGTTTTCTTCTTCCCTTCTCTTTGCAAACCCTAACCACGATACCATCTCTGCTATAAAGACAACTCATATAATTGTTCTATAATTTTTTTCTTAAAAAGTGGCGTTTATTCCTGAAGATCACAGAATGGCAACCAACAACTAGGGCTTTTATTTCCCACTTACATATAATCGTGATTTTCATCAATAGTTTCAAAACCACTTCCTTCACGTACGCTTTTCTTCTTCAATCTCACATCCATTTACGGTTTTAGCATACAAGAACTCTATTCGACTCATCACACACCAACTATTAAGGGAAGACATCAAAGCATTCATAGGCCGGATGTAGCAATAGTCGAAGATTCACCTTGTCTCGCCTCGTCCATTCGACAACCTCTTTGGTCACCCCTCCTCAGGTGACCTCGTGCTCACTTCTCCTCATTGGAGACCCTGTCATCTGACCTCGTCAGAGACTATGACGATCGCTCAAATTTACATGCCCTAGTTTGACTAAGGTATGTTTTGTTTTTTCTCTCTTCCTAATGTTTTCGTTCTTCTATGCTCACTCCTCCATAATTTCTAAAAATTCCCGAAGCTTACTGGTTTTCTCATGATAAAAATTAGATATTGGTTGTTTTAGTCGACAGAGTTTTCATGGCAACATCTCTCTCTCTCTCTCTCTCTCTCTCTCTCTCTCTCTAAAACTATTACCCTCCATGGCGATGTCTCCATTTCTTTTATCTTATATCTTTTTCAAAACTGATCCCTATCTATTTATGGTGGGTGATTAATAAATAAATTGAACTCCTCATGTTAAATATCTCATGTAATTAGCTTAAGGTTCTTGGGTTCGGCTCCTGGTGTGTTTGGCGTCCTTGATTGTTTGGAATTTTACAGATGAGGCTCTTTCGTAGCTGCATACTTTCAATTTTTGTGTTGAACTCATAATCTCATAAGCTTTATCCTCATATGATGATATTGCCCTTCCCACTGTAGCAATATATGTATTGTTCCATGTATAATTGTCCACAATCACAATAAAAAAGATTCTCACCTTAGATAATCCCTTTATACTGCCTGTTCCCTTAGAAGACATGATTTGAGTGGTATTTCCTCTAATTTCTTGGGTCAAATTCTTTGTGTAGTCGTAACGCTACTTTGGAGGGTTGTTTCCATGAACACGAATCGGTTATTGACGCCCACAAAGTGCTCAACGCAATGTTTCTGTTAGGTCAGCTACTGCGCCCACAAGGTGCTCGACATAATGTCTCTATTAGATTTTCACCAAGATGAGACCAATTTTGCTACCTTGTCTATCTATATGCAACAAAAGGACTTGAGAAAAAGATAATTGAACTACAATACTTGGAATTTTGGTTCAATTTTACCAATAAATCAATGTTTATTAGTGATGGCTTGTTAGCAGCAAGTCAACTTGTTAACAATCTTATCAAAGATGGTGAAATGTATTTTGTGTTAATAAGGATACCATTAGTTATTAAGTTTGACATCTTTCTTTGTTGTTGCTGTAGGTTTGACAACCAAAGCAGAAACTCTATTTGGCATGTTATTGAAACAGGGTTATTAACTTCATATACAAAATTTACAAAAATCTCTTTTAATTTCTTTCCTTTATGAGCTAGTAGACTTCGTTTTGAAATATAATAGACAACATTTTTTGTGTAGTGGAGCTGACCTGTTTACATCTGGTACCTAATCAGCTACCTATCAGAAGGAATTTGGATTTAGTAGTCTCAATAATTTAACTGAATAGGTTCAGTAGTCTTTAGTCAACATATTCTCCAGTCCAAAGGCTACAGAAGAATCTAAGCAGGTTATAAATTGTTATTTGTATTATATTTCTATATTATATATTTATAAATTCTGATTTTATCTTATTCTGTGTTTTTTTGTGATTAAATATTCTTATTCCAGATTGGTATTAAAGCAGACTGGCGAGGTCTAATCAGGTTATAAATTGTTATTTGAATTATATTTCTGTGTTTTTTCTAATGATTTAGGTTCAATAACCAGTTGAAATGGTATTCCAGTACTTATCACTTGTTATTTACACTTTTGTTGTATTTCAGTTGTGTATACTCAACCCCTCTCATCAACCTCTTAGTTTTCAGTGTCGGAGAAGGTGAGGTGAGGTCTCGGTGGATCTCTTTATCAGTTTCATGTAAATAAAAAAAATACACCCCTGAATTTTAAAAAAGGAAAAAAAATAGATGAAAGTATATGTTGATATTTATTACATAAAAATGCACGTAACTCTACAATACAACAGTGAAAAGCTCTAAAATGCACTATTTCTTCAAGTTTTTCTTTCTTTCTATTGAAGTGTTTATTTGGTGTTATGTGTCGGAACACTAAGGTAAAATTTAGTATTTACAATGTCTTTGAGAAGAGGGTTATATCCGTCTTTTGTCTTTGTCTTTTTGGTCAAACCAAACTCTTCCATAAACACCGATGTATGAAGCTACATATACCCGGAACTGTACCTTGGCATCACCCTGCAACAAATATAAAAAATAAAAGATATCCACATCACCCTGCAACAAATATAAAAAAAAAAAAGATATGTGAATTTATTTATATTTAAAGAGTGCAAACATGCAACTATACCTTGGCATCCAAATATGGATGTGTGTGGTGATTTATGCAGCCCCTTTGATTATGGATTTTGTTGTGTTGTGCGTGTGTGTTATATTAAGAATAATCACCACGTCGTTATTGTTGGTGCTCCTCCCAGGCTCACCACAGGCCACTGTGAAAGGGTGGCTGTGGGATGTGCTGTTGCAACCTGTTAAGAGTAAGGGGCCTCTGCTAAATGAAGACACTATTGATCATATCAAAAGTAAGGATGTAATATAAACCTTGATTACTTTCTAGATTTATAAAGTTACATGAAAAGGAGAGGAAAAGAGTTTACTTATGTATATGGAATTTAACATTTGATGATTGTATTTTTTTTTTGTAGCAATTATTTCCCAAAAGGGTAGTGATGCATGGTGGTATATGAAAGTAAAAGAATTCCTTCCTGAGAAATATCGTGATAAAGCATCAGATTATGTGCAAGGAACTGATACAATGGATGTTTGGTTTGATTCAGGTACATTACTAGTTTGTTAAAAGTTGAATTTTTATTCAAATATAAAAAAAATTGATAGTTTCTGGACTCCAAAAGTATCTTTTGATTAGGATTGAAATGCTTCAAACTTTTTTGCATAATTCTATTTTGCTAAGTGGGTGTGTTTGTTTTACACGTTTGGGATGTTACAGGGGGTAGTGATGGGATTGCAAATACCAAATCGGTTTGAGTTCTATTTTGCATCCATCTCTGATTTGAGTTCACCTCTTCAACGACGAAGAATCCATCTCTTCATTTTAATCCATCGCAGCTCCCTGTGACACACTTACCAACTCGGTTCACCTCTTTGCTTAGTAAATATGTATTTGCATATTTGTTTTTTCTATTTGTTAGTATTGATCATCTATTTTTATTGTGTTTCTTTTTTGAATCGGTTGTAAGTTACCCTGTCTGAGTACATATAAATAGAAGGAAGATGTCCCAATCTGGATGCCATCCAGGTGTTTGTTGAAAGTCCCAAGTGAAATTTTTTGTTATTTTAGACATCGTATAGTAGCTAAGTTCAATGGAAAATCTATTTTATTGAGTAAGATTTATGAGTTTTTTGATGAAAGGTTTAGATTTTGTTGATGTCATAGCTAAACTAATTATGTTCTCTTTCTCTTTTGTGACAACCCGATATTTCAACTCTTTGTAATGGCCTAATAGGTCAAGTAGTGTAAACATTTTTGAGTTAATAAAATTAACTTTGATAATAAAATGTCCAAAAAGTCTCTATTTAAATTCTTCTATGTTTAAATATCATTAAACCATGATCGTACGTAAAAAGAACGCCCAAATCCGATTTCGTATATTGAAGTTATGATTTTTCCAAGTTCAGCTTAGCAACAGACAGCTAAAAACTCAAAACGGAGATCGAGCGACATTTGGCCGGAATGACCTAAACGAGAATCGAAGGTCTCGACAATGGTATTTAAACGGTAAAAAGTCTGGCAAAAACCGACGTCAGATAAAGAAGTTATGAATTTTTAAAGAAATTCCTTAATCACGTCATTTTAATAAATAAATAATAAAAATAATTTCGGAATTTGCCAACGGAATCTAAACGAAAGTTGTAGATCGTAGTCTCACCTTCGTGGGGATATAAAGAACGTCGAAAACGGAGTTCGTATGAAGGAGATATGAATTTTTGAAGTTTGATAAATAATTTATATATAATTTTTATTAAAAATTCGGTATTATCCGAAGAGGAGTCAGCCTAGGGCCGAGGTACGCGCCGCGTACCCTCGTACGCCCTGCGTACTCGAGGCCATGGCCTCGGATCGTCCACGTCGCCCTATGCGAAGCTACCCGACCCACCGTCCCATCCGACCCGCCCCATCCGAAATACGTAAGTGATGACGTACGGGTACGCGCTGCGTACGGAGGCGGTTCAGCACCCCTATAAAAGGGATGCGAGCCTTTCCGAAAAATTTGTTCATTTTCTCTCTTTCTCTCACGATCTTGCCTCGATTTCCATGCCCGTTCAAACCCGAAGCTCTGGTCTTTTTGCTCAAGTCCCGAGAGTTGATTTTACTCCCGAGATTCCTGAGAATCCCGAGAAAAATCCGTTTCCCGAGACGAAACTCTGCCCGGTTTTCGATCTCGCTATCTTCAAGCTTCCAAGTGAGTTCATACCCCTTTATTCAACCTTTGAAATGCTTTTAAATGTTTTAAATACTTAATGGGGGGGGGGGAATACAAGTTAAACACTTATAGTTATTGCTTCGATCACATGTGATTAATAACTAGGAAACCAATGATTTTATCACTGTTCAAACTGTTTTACTTCAAAATGTTTCACAAACTCTTTTACTTATCAAATGCTTTTATTTAAACTTTGTTTTACTACTTATAAATTGCATGCCCATATATGTATAGATATATAAGTAATGTCTAAAGGGCTTAGGAAGGCCATCCGCCCTATTTCCTTTTCGCGCACTGAGATGTGGTCTGGTGGGATTTCGGGTGACCATCCGAGGGTCGTTACAATATTAGTTATATATCATATATACATGTATAGACATAAAAGTACTTCCATATTCATACTTATCAGCACATCATTAGTAAGTTACCATCGGGGTAACACAGGATCATACTACTACGATTTCTAGATCAACGAGTCAGTTCATTCAGGAGTCAATACTTATTACTAAGAGAACATATACAACGATACTAGAACAAGTAACATTATATTGCATATACACGAATACGTTAACATTGTGATCCACTGTATGGGAGCATGTCTTAATTGTCATGACCCGAGTTGTAGCCAGAGTCTCTTGGAGGGAGAGCGTGAGTTTGCGTATAGATCTATACTGGATTGACTATCCTACACCTCGCTGCTAGCTACAGCGGGACCGACAGGTCTGCGGGTGCCAAACGTCATACCTTATTTTTCGACTATACGTTGTCGTTGTTACCAGTCGATAGTATGGTGCAATTTATCACATGATACCTTAATATAAACCCGGTTTAAGGTAGTTAGTACAGCAGTAGTTCCTATAAAACAAAACTACTGTACTACAATAATTTACCCATTACATTTTGGTGTTAACCTCACTTAAACTTTAATGTACAAACTATATTTTGTTAAATGATAGTTACACTTGGGAAATTACACACTTTTACATCAAACGAGCATACAAAACAGTTAAGCCTTGGTAGAGGGCTACTTTAACAGAAAATATAGGTTTTTCTGAGAGATTCAAACTTTTACAAACACTTACATACATTTACAACTCATACTTGCGACAGGTTCAAACGTTTTGATAATAAACCTCGACACTAAAATACTTATGAATTCACCAGCTTAATGCTGATAAACTCTTTCAAAATAACTTGTATTCTCAGGTCATCAGTAGACAGGTACCGATGCTAGCTTTTGAGAAGATGGAGCGCATTCAAGACTCATCATACTATTTTGATTTACATTATATTTTTGGTGTCTAAAACTGTACGGAACACGCTTGTATTAAAATTTTATATTTAATGCAATGGATGATGTTGTTTGCTTATTTACATTTACTATGTTGTGATACTTTACATGACGTCCTCCGCCCTAGAACGTTTCCGCCATTCTTGGTTTTGGGGTGTGACAGATTGGTATCAGAGCATTGTTTATAGTGAAGCAAAAGATATACTAAACTATAAACCCATTTGGGATTAAAACACTTTGACCAAGAGTCTATACTTTAAATACTAAAATAGTTAATTAAGTATACTAGTCTGCATTCATACTAAAACCAGTGTCACAACGACAAGAACAAGAGTATTACGATTGTTAAATATCACAGGTAAGCTAGGGGATGTATGGTCAGTCCTGGGAATGGCATAGCCTGATCAACTATGCTGGTCCGAGGAGTGATTAGCATATGCCCTAGAATAGTTGTGATGTGTTAACAAGTCTAAAAACTTACCAACAATGCCACAAAAAGATCAGTGGAACTTAAACTTAAAATACTATAGGTGTATTTCGTGCTATTAACTACATACATACTATATCTTTATACCTCTCTTCTCGCGCAGATTTAAATGGTTGGATTCCATCACGACGACCCGTACTTTCCAAATGAAGGCAACATAGGAAGGCTCGATGCAGAGTCTGATGATGAACACCAAATTCCGTTGGATGATCATCAAGCTGAAGGCTTCACGGATGGATCGGACTCGGAGCCCGAAGTCAACAACCTACCTCCAGTAGGTCAACCCCCAAACAACAACCCTCGACCAGCTTTTCTAGGTCCTACTCCCTTATGGGCAAACAACTTGAATCGTTGGAGTGATGAACAGGGTCAACCCTTACCATACTTTGGGGACCAAAGCTTTTACAATGTCAGCAATGGTGGCTCTGCTGACCGAGCCCTGCCTGTCATTATCCGCGGAATAGCTCGTAATGTCGAGCAAGGTCGAGCAGCCATCGACCGGGTCATGGAGATTGATGCCAACTCAGGTGTCAACACAGTCCGCATCCGCTGTCTTGAAGAAGACATGGAACGGACCCGGAGAACCAATGAAACCCTACAATAACATCTAGTTGCCTCTCAAGCTGAAGTCATGGAACTCCGTGCTCGTCAAAGTGCTCATGAGCAACACCTTCAAGAGGTGGTCCGTCAAATGAGAGACCTTAGGGTTCTCCCGAGGAATATTCATTGCCGTTAGATGATGTCTAGTACATCATTATCTTTAGGGTTAAGGATTAGCCTTTAACATATGTGCTCTAAGTAGCACTTTTCTGTAAAATATTCCTAACTTTCATTACTCTAATTAGGAATCTAAGAACTGTCAAACTTTTTCTATATGGTATGATGTAAGACCTACTGTTAGGTCGATTTTTCCTTGAACTTATTACATCAGTAATACTAGTATTATTGAAATCTATCTAAATTGTGGGAAAAATCTATACACTTGTGTTTTCCTACTAATATTTCTTGTTGTGATTTCAAACACTCATTCAACTGTTGGGCTATGGTTAGTTAGTCCATGTATCACTCTCACGTTGCTTACAAGATGATTCTTACCATTTTTTCTTACCTTTATAAACTTATAGCTGAAAGATGTCTCCTCGCAAATCTCCCAAGAATAATCCTGCACCACCACCTCCTCCGCCTCCGGTCATCGATACCATAGCACTGAATGCTGCCGTAGCTGCAGCAGTGGCAACTGCCATGGCACAGTATCACTCTTCTGATGCTAGCAGAGGTGGAACCCATGTGGAATCAATCCCGGTTGAAACCCCTGTGCGCTCGAGAGAGTGCTCTTACAAGGATTTCACCAACTGCAAGCCGAAGTCCTTTCATGGGACCGGCGGAGTCATTGCTCTCTCACAATGGTTCGAGAAGACTGAAGCGGTCTTCGAAATTTGTTCATGCCCTGCTGCGAGCAAAGTGAAATATGCCGCATGCACCTTTGAAGGAAAGGCCCTGACTTGGTGGAACAACCACGTTAAATCTCTAACTCTCGTCGTAGCCAACGACATAGGCTGGGAAACGATGAAAGACCTCATGATTGAGGAATACTGCCCGAGGGGCAAGATCCAGAAACTAGAGTAGGAGCTTTGCCTCCATGTCAGGGGCATCAACATTGTCGCTTACACCACCATATTCAGCGAACTGGTGGCCCTCTTCCCTAATATGGTTCCCACTGAAGGGAAAAAGATCGAAAGGTACATATGGGGGCTAGTGCCTCCATATCAGGGGAACGCCCTATCATCAAACCCCGCTACCTTCGACAGTGCCAAACGACTGGCACAACGACTCATTGACCATGGGGACAAACTCCCCACAACAACAACAACGCTAGCCATCTTAGAACCCTCCAAACCCGCTGACACAAAGCGGAAACTCTGAGAGGAACGGAAGAAGACAAATCGAGCTTCCAAAAAGCAGCAAATTGTGGCGGTACATGCTGCAATAACCCCTGTTGTTGCTGCTACTACTGCTCCGATAGGACAGTATGCTGGAGGTTTGCCCAAGTGCAACAAATGCAACTACCACCACAATGGCCCCTGCCATGAAATGCAGTGCTCT